TCCACAAGGGGTGAGATCCCATACACTCCATGAAGAAAGTCATTCCATGGTTGGGATTTCAGAATGGTTGGGAAGCATTTGAATTTTCCCCCAAATATCGTTCCAGGAAATTGCTTAAATCTACAACATGCTGAACCCTGCTGCAGATATCCGCTTCTTGGGTATAAATAATGGGACAAACCTAAAATAAAAAGATTTTGGCGAAGCTAATTCCTTTAGTCCCCCCCTCGTCAAGTAGATTGTGCAGTGGATACCTACACAGCCTCGCCCTGCAGGGGGCGCAACACCCACACATTGCAGAACCGAGATGAAAGTAGAAAGAAGCTTATGATGTTTATATGTTATGATTGCAAATGCTGGAATAAAAGAAAAAAATGCCATTTAACACATGAACGGCCTCTTTTTCACTTCAATGTGAAAAGGGGCATTACCTATCGGGAATTTACGATCAGCGTTTTGGAAAGTAACTTTTAAAAAGTAATTCAGTACAGTTACAAGCTACTCATGTAAGGAAGCACTTACTTTTTTTTTTTTTACAATGAATAAAAGAAGCATGCATATAGTTACAATGAAAAGTTCTAATTCTTAAAAACAACTTTCCCACAATGTCATGATTTTAGAAATGGGATTTGTAGCTGCTAATACAAGTAGGCTGTTGCAATAATGGATTACTGTTTTGATAAACTGACTATTTCCAGCACTTTTTATGATTATGAAACATGGAAGAATAGACATGCCTTATCTTCCAGAATTTTGTGAATTGTAATACATAACACCAGTTATTTAAATAATCACATAACCAAGGGTCCAAAATGCACTAAATGGTGTATATGATGTGCTTGTGCTTCGATTTATACCAATATAAATCAATCTTTTAGTCAATATGGAGAGATCAGACTTTCTCCAACTGGAAACCAGTATGCATGACAGGCCGTATTAAGGGAAAGAGGAAACAATCAAAACGAAGTATAAATCAACCCAAAAGTTTGGCTAAGCAGACTCGTCATACTGTACCTCGGAGTGAAGTGTTTAATATGGACTCTCTTCCCTTTCCATGTAGAATTTATAAACTTTATCCCAATAACTTAAGAGGACATCTGGACAAGTTGCTCTCAAAATTGGTTATATTGTATCAGCTACCAATTTCAGCCAGGATCCACTGAACTGGAGTGCCATGTGATAATAATTTTAACAAAGCCCATCATTAAAGCTTTACTGACAATACTGACAAATAAATAAAGCAGTTTGTGCAGTTACTGTGTCAAAGCTCATCTTTCATGAGCTTTCAGACCGACGTTCTGACACAATGTTTAGATGTATATAGTACAGAGAACAGCCTTATTGTGCGATTTGCATCTTGAAAGGCAGATCTCCACCACAGCAAACACAGCTGCATAATTATACACCACCACACAGAACCGAAAAATAACATTTGCCTCACATAGGGACTAAGCCTGACCTTGCCTCTGTATCACAAGGACCAGAATAAACAAAAGCGTATGTGTGCAGTGCAGTGGGAGTTCAAGAGAAAGCTCTACTTTCTCTTGCAGAGCTCTACTGCAGACTTTTCCCACTTGCTGGCCCAGATGCCCAGATGACCAAATCTGCTTCAGCAGGGTCAGTATTGAGACAGAAGACTTGTCCCAGCTGCTTCTCATCAGGATGGACTGGGAAGCTTGTCAGGATTGGGGGGCAACATAGATTGAGAAAAGTACTGAAAAAGTACCGGGGCTTTTTTTTTTTTAAGAGAAGAGCCTACCTTACTCTACAAATCCATGTTTCAGCAGGACAATGACCCAGAAGCACAAGACCAGAGCTGCACTGGAGTGGTGGAACAAAGAGGAAAGTGCAGGCTCTTCAAACCCTAGTCAAAGTCCGGACTTGAACCTGTTAGAAAATCTGTGGCAAGATTTGAAAATTGCTGTCCATCAACACTCCCAAACATCTTCGCTGAGCTTGAACAGTTCTGAAAACAAACATGGACATTATCTTGGAGTCCAAAACCAAGTATGGTCTTAAAGGTGTGCATATTAATGCAAGCAACAGCTTCAATTTTTTCTTTGCCGTTTTTGCTGATCATAAAAGTGTTCATTTGGAACATTCAAATTGTGATTAAAAACATGTCTTAAGAAGTGCAGGACAAAATGATTTAAAAAGTGCATGCATTTTAACTTCAACCAAAAAACGGGACTTTATTTAAAGAAGGTTCAATCTTTTGCAAGGAACTGTATATCGCACAATAAAACAAAAGTAAGCTCACTCCCACATACACACACTCCTTTATCCCCCAGGTGTGCATGTAACTACAGACCCTGCTGCATTCATGTACATATCATTAAATAAAATATGCACTTATTGCAGGCAGCCTGAATGCATCAATTGTCTCCCCTTCTGCAAAAGAAATATGTTGTCAACTTCACTGCCTATAAAGCTGCATAAATGTATTATAAATGAAGCATTTAGTGGGGACAGCCTGAAAGTGTGGATGACGTACTTTCACAGGGGAGTTCATGTTCACACCGTCGATGACAGCATTGATTGTAGTAGACCAAATGTATAATAGTGGAATGTTTGCAAACCATTTAGAATTCAGTTATGATGTCTGTGGAAAGGGCTGCTTCTGCTGCCAGACTGCATATTGTGAAACAAATGCAATTTTCTCATACAAAATGTTCTCCCTTGGTGGCCTGGATACAGTCTCATTAAGCATCTGTCAATTTTTGGTTATTGTTTAAAACAGAAAATTTCCTCCAGCATATCGACTTACTAAAACGAATCCAGCTAATGCTCAGAACTTTGCCCATTTAAAATGAAGTTTTTAGCCCTTCCTGTGCCAAATGTGACACCCCCGTAACGGTAAAATGTTCACAGTGTAGAAGAATCTCAAACTATTCGCAGAGTACAGAATGAAATTCTATTTGGGGTTTGCAATAGAGAAGGAAAACAAAACTGAAAACCTTCTCCCATTGTTCTTTTGATGCAAAAACAAAATGACAAGGTGAGAGACAAGTGTGCTCACAGGAAACACCTGATCTTTCAGAAGGCCGTTTCCATCGATCTCTCAACTCTCTTCTTGCGAGGTACTTTCATTTCCCATTTCTATTTTAATTCCTCCCCACACTGCACAACTGCTGGGTTGATCTAGCCTTGTTGTCCTCCTAAACAGCAGGGTTAGTGTGGTCTAAATCTCCTTTTCAAAGAAGTGGCAAGTTACAACATCATTTTTGAACAGTTCTTAAAGTGGCAGGCCGAAACGGACTTTTAGGCCTTTGCACATTCAGTACAATAAAAGATGAAGACAAAACAAAATAGATATTGAAATATTCAGTATAGTTATATGGCCGTGACTTCAGTCTATCAGTACTAAGTCTAACCTATTCTTGTAGTTCATTCCACTGGTAAACTGCTTATACATGTTTGAAACTTTCCACACTAGTTTAAAAAAATAAAACTCATTTAGGAACCCAAGTCAACTGTTTAGGAAAAATGATTTGCCTGACACACTGATGGTCATTAACATAAGGTGCAACTTCACAGCACTATCATTTTAAATACTTGCAGGTTTTTTTTTTCTTAAAGCACCCAACAGTAAAATGCAAAATGCTGAAATAGCAATTCTAAAAAAAAAAAACACTGAGGAATAATTTGTATGAGGAAACATCCATTAAACCCAGAGATTATGCCCAGCACACATTCCTTGCTGCTCGCCAATCGACTGGTAGAAAGCTCCAAGTTGCAGATGAAAATAAACCAGATTTACCCTCTTGCTCCCAAGTGCACAGGCTCTTTCACTTCATATAGCAGCTTTGCTGCTCTCCTGTTGTGAACCTTCACTGAAGACACAGAAAATCACTCAGGGAAGATCCTTAAAAGTAATCATAGGCAGAATATTTGCTAGTGCTTTTTCTCTGAATCAAGATACATCTAGATATATTAAACATGCTGCCAAAACTTTCAGTTTTTCTAAACTTTTTCACTTTCAACATGCTGCAGAGTGTCATAGTTTGGGTTTTAGTGCAGTATGGTTGACTTTATATATACAGTATATACACTGTATATTCCAACATCTATTAAAGACAAAGCAAGGAATCACAGCATTAGGAAATCAGACTGCATAAAATTACATTTAGTTTGGACAGTTGATTTGCTGATGTGTATGAATTGGATCCACCACATTCATAAATACCCCCCAAAGAAGATTTGAATCCACTAAGTCTGTTTCCTTTAATGCAGCGATAACTTGGATATCTCTTAACAACTCTTAGAGAGTATTTATTCAAATTTGATGAGAATATTCAGATAAAGGATTTGAATTGGTTTGATTTTCAGAAGTATTTTCAAGTTATGATCACAGAATGTTCTGCACATTTTTTCATTTGAACCAAATGTAATAACAGAAATGGATTTCCGTCTCAAAGCAATACACAAAACTGTGCAAATCTAAAGAACGCTAATGCACATTTATTATCTCCAATCTCTTCTCCAAACTTCATAGAGAAGGGAATTCTGGGAAATATTGTACAATCAAGACTGAAGACAAAGACATGCTCCGACAGGTCATTACCAATTATGAAATTTAATGTCAAAGTGCTTGAAGGGCCAGTAATGACAGACAAGAATGTTGGTGCCGTCACGATATATAAAATGGATTTCAAAGCAAAATGGGCTTTTGACTTCAGCTGCCACTGACAATATGCAATGCTCTCCTTTCCCTTCTTTTTGAAAGAGTGAAATACTTTTGATCCATTTCGCCCAACACCAGCACATGCTGATTTTGTCAAGGCCCTGCGTGCCGGGTTTAAAGTTCCCTGGGAATATCTTGTGATAAGATCAGGGAGGAAGGTAATTCAGTCCAAGTTGCTGCGCAGTGCTCCTAAGTGAGAAAGGCACAGACGCTTCACTGCCTGTACAAACATGCATGACGAAGGTTTGTCAGACACGCAGTTGCCCGACACTGCTGTGGTTTCGGCATGTCTCTCAGCAGAGTCCCAATAATTCACCTTGGCCTGCTGGAATTTCTGCGGCCAACAGAGGATGCTGAGTCATCGAAGAAGGAATGCAGCACTCCAAAAGAGAAACCGGGACAGGCAGAGCCCACGTTCTCAACAAGCGTCTGGTGGAACAGAAAACAGATGCCGTTATCCGGCCCGAGTAAGATGAAGGTCGGGAGCAGCACAGAATAAAAAAAAAAAGAATTTCTTGTGTTTTCTACATAGGGGTTAAAATGACACCAACACCGGAGATTCAACACCTAAAGCTAAAAACAGCTACAAGAACCCATATCAGCAAATTAGCACTTCGTGGGAAGAACTGAAAACGGATTACCTTGTGCAGAGAAGAAGGTTTTCACACAGATTCTTTGTTCTCCAGCATTATCTGATGTGCCCAAATTAAACAGATACTTAGCTGCATAGTTTCATGTTTTAAAGGTAACAGAAACGGGCCAACAAAATAAAGAAAAACTATCAGAAACGTCAGGTTTATGTTTAAGAGAAGCTTAACCAAGTTACTGACTAAAGAATCTCAACAAAACATTCTGCAGGATACAAGACTCATCTACCATAACATAACATGAACCCCCATTTCCCACATGTCTATCAAAAATAAGAAAATCATTAAGGGAGGTATTTGAGTAATTAACTTAACTAATAATGAGCTAACAATGATTAGAATCACAAAAAGCTCGTTTCCCAAAAGTCTAGAAACAGAACAAATACAAAGGTATGTTTTATTTACTTCAATTACACATTTATTAAACATAAATGTATGCGAACAGAAATAAATATTGTGGCCACTTAAACCACTCTTTTTGGCACAAGAAAGGGTTCAATAACTACAAAATTTCAAACGTTTTAACTGTTCTATAGAGGTGTTATATTGCAGTTTTGGGCATATTTAAGCAATTATTCATCCTGTTTTCACTGTGCTCATGAACCATAACTAGATCCAATGTCAAGGTACAAGGTGCAAAAATGAAGCAGGCTTGCTACCAAGATTACTCTTGTTTTTTTTTTCCAAGGGCATGTTTCATTTATGAGACTGATCCATTTTCCCCTCTCAATTTCAACCTGCTCTTGTAACTCATTCCTGCAGAGGTGAAAGGTCAAAGGTTAAAGGGAGAAGAGTGCAACTGCTGCTATAAAGCACAAAGACAGCTATTTTGTTTTTGGAATGTCATTCTCGACATTACAGAACTCGTAAAACTTTACTAACTTGCGACCAGAGCTCTTACAAGTACAATGATTTCTCCTGTGTGCTGTATTGGCACCTGTAGATTCTTCTACCGGAAAACGTTTAACACAAACACAAGCTGGTTCATACGTCTTGAGCTATATTTTCAAGAGGATGGAAAGGGAATCAGCAGGTATGGGTTTTTATAACTTATTGATAATCTCTAAGAGATTAACTCCTTTTCCACCCCAAGTCATTTTATTGCTCTCCACTTACAAGATAAATCAGTTTCTTTAGTATTAAGTGCTTGGGAAGTGTACAATTCTACTCTTGCTTGGATTCTCCTTCAGGTAGGAGTTCATAGCCTTAACCACTAATTCACATTGCCTCTTTTTATGCAAACCCTTAATAATTTCAGATATGCAGTACATTACAAACCACATGAATTAAAATAGATGCAAAAGGGGAACATTTACAAGAAGGCTTGTGAAATCCTTGAGATCACAAATGCCAGGAGGAACAAAAAAGTTAAAACAACCCTGGCCAAAGTGATCTGAAATGTCCTGAGACAGACAGAAATGGAGACAGATGTGAAGTATAACTTACAATAAATGAAACCAGCTGTTTAAAATTCTCTTGAAGTCAAAGGCACACCAGTCATTTTTATTTAGAAAATAATATAGAAGCAGCCCCCCCCCAAAAAAATGGTCTTCAACTGCTACTTCAGCAGGGAATTTCACAGCACTTAAGAGTTCTTCAAATAAATATAGTGCTAATTGAGACTGTAGGAGCTCATTTCAATTTTTGTCACATTGTGACTCAGTGGACAGAGCAGTAAGCACTTCCTCTCATGTTAGAAGAAGACTTGTCCTGCTGCCTTAGAAAAACAGAGGTCCGAGCACCTCTGTCTCTTTTTAAGAGTCTTCTGATGCAGTAGGTTCTTGCTGTAGGTCTGGGAGTTTTCAGTGCTAGTGTTGAGAGAAACATCTAAAGAGCATTCCCCATTGTTTCTTTAATTACATCAATGATAAAAAAAACTGCACAATGAAGAGCAACCTTTTCTTTAGGCATCTGCTATAATCATTCAACGTCTTTAGTAATTAATCACATAGTTACTCCTTTTTGTCACACTAGGGGTAGTCACTCTACAAGCACCAACAAATTCAAAGCATATTCACATGCTGGAAGTACACAAGAACTACCTTGGGCTCAACAAACTCTGAAACCTTATGTAACTCAAAAGGAACAAAAGCAACTACATTTGAATCCGAGTTACTCTATATGTCACTGTGATTAAATTGTGTTTTCTGCAGTTACTGAGAATTTTTTTTTTTTTTATTCCCGGTCAATTAAGACAAAAAACAAAGAAACCAACTCTGGGTAATTTAACAGAAGATACATAAAAAATACCATAATGCATTTCAAACTTTAAGAATTAGAAAAAAAAATCCTAGCCTGCAATCAGAGATTATGCAAAGATAAGAACTGGGGGAAAAAGGGTACTGTAAATAAAGATCCTGTCCAGGTCTACACAAAGGAAACACTTGTGATTCTGTTTGTTCTCTCTGCAAAGTGCATTTGCTCAAACAGACTGAAAAAGGCATGTCAGACAATGACATTATAATTACCAGTATGCACCACACAAATTATGGAGTACATTCTGTATGGCTTTGTTTACTCAGACAGACATTGGATTATTTGTGATACTTGGAAAGGATTTCTCAATCTCTGATCAGCACTCTGTAAAAAAAATAAAATAAAGATCATATTTATTGCAGTTAAGCTTTGTTTTTTTGTTTTTCTTAAATCACAACTGATCATAAACTAAAGAAATGCGATTCCCCATCTCCACCCTCAGCTACACTGCTCATGAGAAGAAAGAGCCAGCAGCTCTGAATTGGGACATGCTGTAGTGAAGACAGCTGGAGTGATAAAGAGGGTGTTTTAAAACAGTCTGTTGACTCATACTGTCGGTGTACAACGTGGGCTGTTTTCTGCACCCAGAGCTGAGAAATGGAGATGACAAGCTGAATCTTGTACAAAGCACGTTGAACAGAAAGGATAATCAGAAGCCACCCCACTTCATGAACTTCCCTCCCTACCGCTATGAAGCAATTGCCCAAGCAGAAGAAATATCACTTATTTTAATTAAACTGTAAATATGTCCACCAGATATAGAACACATTGGAAAAGGAACTGAAAATTTCCAGTTGTACACATTTATCTTTAATTCCGAATAAATCCTGTGTACTATTTAATACAGCAAACTCCCTTTTAGTATCTACTCCTCTCCTTCTTGCCCAATTGCAAAGCTAGGAAAACCAAGAAAAAACGCAAAGTTCTTTACAGGCTGTGCTGTACAAAAAAACATAAAGGCTGACGAGCTTTGCAGTCTTATTATTACGATAACAACTGATAGGTCTGAACAGCTTGTTTATTTGCTTAACCTTTTCTGTGTCCAAGTAGGAGTTCCCATCGGAGTTAATCAGCCGGAGATCTACTCAAGAAGGCAAAATGTGACTCACCTGCATTCAAAACTAAATAATAATGAAATAATGAAGCAACATCATACGCTGTACATTCTGTCTCTCACAAAAGGTGGGTGTTTAAAACCCAGAATCCTTTGCACTGGGAGAGGTCCTGTTTATGGGCCGGGGTGATTGTGGTGTGAATAGGGCACTCTAACCTGCAGGCCTTCAGAAATCCATCTGATAATGCAACGGCTCTAAGACATTGCCGACGAAGCTCCTCAAAGACCTGAGGGCAGAGATGTTCACTACAGGGGAAGGCAAGACCTGGGACGTCTCGTCTGCTGCTCCTGCCTGGCTGTGGCCATTCCCACTGGCAGCCAAGTGTTTACCTTGGCCTGGAACCGACAAACAGTTTACACAGGAAGGGACGTCAGGAGAACAACGTTTCCCTGGTTTGCTTTTCGGCTTCCTCTCAAGCGGGTCTCGCCCAGGCAGGGCTGCGGAGTCTCGCAGTGTTCAGACAGCCACATCCTGCAAGGAATCATCTACTTTGGGGTTTGACAAACCACTTTCAGCTGGAGGAGCCCTTCTGAAGGTATCACCACCATTAAGCCCTCCCCCCAGTTTTAACCCCAAAATCAACAAGAATAACAATATTAGAATTCTAATCGTATAAACATAAGGGCAGAACTGTATGCACTCTGCAAGGTCTGATTTAACGTGATGCAGGGCAAGGCTTGAAAGCTAAAGGTTTCCTGTTCGTGGGACTCTGTGATCTGTATCCAACCAGAAACAAGCTACTGCAGTAGCAGGTTTTGTAACACTGGTCCCGAACATTTTATAATTAGTCTGGTCAGTGCAGAGCAATCAGGAAGGCACGTTAACTTGTTATATTGAGACTTGTAAAGACATTCAGAGGTCAGCTGCATTCAACATCCAAAGACACTGTAGCTATCCTGCAGCACGTTGTTAGAGCCCATCAGTAACTGGGCTCCTCATTAATTAATGGATCTGGGATCAAAAGGGAGTATAATCCTACTTGTTATTGCTCTCCTTTCACCCTTTAACTGTAGCATAGCAGTACCACCAAAACAGTTCATCTCTGTTAATGTACAAATGTACAGCTATCGATTCTAAACTTAAGGTGCTCGCTGGTCTCTCCTCTTCAGAAATTACAACACAGATTATCAAAAAGGAACCCCAGTTCAACTCCCTCTGAGCTTGGAGACTGATTTCTTTAAACTGGGGTGATCTGGGGGTATTCGGTGGGAGGAAGAGAACATTTGCTTTACTGCAACTGAAAACAGATGCAGCTGATGAAGTGATAGTAAGTAGTTGAAATGGTCCTCTTACTCTGATCGTGTTCTCACCTTTCTCGCTGCTACAGGTAATACTTCTTCATCTCACTAGCCTGCTTTGGCTACAATTGGCACTTCAAAAAACTGCTATAATAGTTTTAATGCTGTACTAA